GGCATGCCCGCAGCATGTCTGAGAGCTCTAAAATACCAGAGGCTTGTGCTGCCTGGAGAGCATGGCGGCAATCCTCGTTTGCATTTTCAACTGCCAATTTTAACAGGAGCTCGTGAGCTGCCTCAGTGTTATCCACCTGTCGGAGGATAGCCTCATGCAATCTGTTGGTAAAATCCAAAAAGGACTCTGAGGCACCCTGACGGATACTGACAAAGCTTTTGGTAGGCTTGCCTGAATCCGGGACCTTCTTGAAAGCATGCTGGGCACAGGTGGAAATAATGGGGAAGACGGCCTTAGGGAGTTGAGACTGCATCTCAATAGTAGCAAACGGGCCCTCCCCTGCCAAATGCTCATAAATGATACCGTGCTCTCTATGTACCTGAGCTTGGCGTTCTGCCATCTGCCGATACTCACTAACCCAAATAACATACTGACTGGGTGATAACATCATGCGCAGCAGCGTTTTCCAATCCTCAGGGATTAGGGAGTACCCAGTACCTATCCCCTCAATGAGACCACGCACAAAGGTGCTAGTCAGGCTAAACTCACGAATTGCTTTCTTTACGTCTCTAACCACCGAGTATGGCAAAGTGGTCCAGGTGCCCACGGGGTTGCCCTGGTCATCATTCTGCCAGATCACCGGGCAAACTGAGACCAGATCAGCCAGCTCCTCCGCTGTAAGATCTGAGCGAGTCTTCGCTGCATGGACCATTCGTTGCACCAACGAAAGCCCCTGAGCAGACGCGGATGACCCTCCGGGGGGCCCCACGGGGGGAGGGTGATCACACACCGGCTCCGGTGGGGAAGGCCAGGGAGGCGGTGGTAATAGAGGCCCTGGGGGCGAAGCAGGGGGAGGGATGGTTGCAGGAGCGGACGGGGGTGGCGAGATCACCAACCTCGCGAGGGAGGGTCTGTCCGAGGCGACACGCTGTATCGCGTCGCGGCAGAGGTGCCAGGCATGTAAAGCCTGCACGGGCGCCCAAGGCTCCTCGTGCAATGTCTGGCCCAACCGCTCACAGTCCGCTAAGTTAAGGGTTCCAGCTTCAGGGTACCACGGGCACTGGGCACTCACCTCCTGTAGCAGGAGAGTGAGCTCTCTAGTGGGACAGTCATGCTGAGCCTTACGCAACAAATACTGTAGCTCACAGCGGTGTTGCACTTGCAAAGCAGAGAGGGAACTTCCCATACTTACCACAATGAAAAATACTCACCGGGATCCACGAAGCGGATGAGTGACACGTCTGAAACCCTTGCCGGGCAAGGTGAGTGCTGAGGGCCCCATGTTTGGGCGCCAGTTGTGGCGGTTCAATACAAGACAGGACACGGCTTTAGGCAAGCAAGCAGGCTGGTCTGCTGATGGGATTTTTCCTGTCAGCTTTTCCACCTCTTTTATTTCTCTCCCCCCTGCGCATCACATACCCCAACCGACCGCAAAAGGCATCAACAAAGGAAATAATATGACTTTGATTAATATTCCTATTTACTAGCCTCTATCTACTACAATCTTTATTCTCAGGCCTTGAGTTTCGGCTGAGGAAGCTTCCCACGGCTGATGTCCTTATTTTGACTTCCCAGATGGTCCATGTTTTCATGGTCCATGTCCTTGGATAGAACAGAGCAATGTGTGCATTGCTCCTACACAACCAGGTGCATGTTTCCAGGTGCATGAACGCTACATGAACCCTTCACATCAGCATAATTACTCCACCTCCACGAGAGGCGGAAGCTATGTTGGCAGGAGAGCATTTCCCACTGACATAGCGCAGGTGTGGACAGAGCTTAGGCTGCTGTAACTTGTGTTGCTCAGGGGAGTGTCTTTTTCACAGTGCAAGCTGGTGTTTTCTGCTCTTAGCTTGACCCTGAACAATGTCCCAACATCTTTTAGTTCATTGACACTCTCCCGTAGAAAAAACATTTCTCCGTTTACCTCTCTTCCCCACTCGCCTTGAGTTCCCTGGGTTTCCTTTCCTCACTCCTGTCTTCATACCGTTTTCCACATCGCATGGCAGATGGACACTTCCTACATGTCAAGCCCTCACCCTCTTCTCACATTGCTATTACTCACCGCCTCTCCAGCCCCATTTCTTGCTACTTGCCTGCAAGTGAGTTCATTGACCCCTTAAAGAAACATCAAGATGTGCACAGACTGCAATTGTAACCACACAATTTTATTACTGTAACCCTCATTCTTCATCATTATAGTGCTTCTTCTTAGCGAATGTGCAACATGCCTCAGGTAGCATGTGACCAGGATCCCTCACCAAATTTGGTCGACTGGTTGGATCATTAGCTTCCCTGGCTTGGGAGAGGTACTGACGGGGAGTGCGACATGAACACTGATCCATGCCCCCCCCCCCCATTACAGTGCTAGTACAATGCTTTTGGAAATGTAAAGTACTGTATAAGTGCCAAGCTTAAATCCATTATGCTTACTGGGAAATAAGCTTGTCTTAGCCATCTGACCACCAGGGTGTCTATCATAGTTTGCAGAGTACCTATTAGTGAATTGAATGTAAACTTCAAAGTTTAGAGTGCCGGGTGGAAATCGGCTTGGAACTATGAGCAAAGAAACTGCCTCTTGTTTGATTCCTGGTGTCCAAGAAAACAGGACTGCCTAACATTGCTTGTAAATAAACAAGATTGCATCAAAGAAATACCTGACTCCATGACTGATTTCTCCTTTTAACAGAAACAACCTGCAAGACAGCTATTATAGGCTAACCACTCAGGTTGAGAGAGGCAACAATACTTTCGAATGCATCTGAAGTTAGCAGGCATTCAGTATATATTTAGACAACAGTGGAATTATAGGCAAAACAATGGTTGTCCTTATACATAGGCTAACCTATTTAATTATTGGCTGAGGTAGTTGTTTGGGTTTTGCATGCATGGTATATCACTTAGAACTAGATTCCTGAAGTATGAGTTTCTTTCAGAAAAATTGCAATATCAAATTTAAATAACATTATTATAGGCAGGGCTAGTATCACTGCCCTTTGTTACATTTCCAATTATAAGACCTTCCCCTTCACTTCCAATAATAAGACTGTTTTCAATTGCTTGTAACTTTGCCAAAGTTTCACTATTTGGTCTGAAATTTTCCTTACCAGTGTCAAAGTCAGATTCAGGACTCACATAATTTGTCAGACCACTCTGTTTATTAGCAAAGCACTTTGCTAATGCACCCAGATGTGAGCCCCTCTCTGAGGCTCAAGATAACTTATTTATACAGCTAAGCCAAAGCCAATTTAACATAAGAGACAAAAGAAAGCAGAAACTGACAAATATACATACGTATCTTATTTGCATACTAACATTTACCAATCTCCTAGCTCAGTAGGAGCTCTAAGTTAATTAGTTTGAGGACCCAATGTCTCACACTCCTTAATGTTTCTCTTCCTGACAACTATATTTCAATAAACCCTTCAAGTAGCATTTCTTTAATGAATTATAATTTCAATATAACTAATTCTACTTTCACACCAGGTATCTGCTTTGGGCAGAAGTTTGGGGAAAAATCTCAGCTCAAGCAGTTCATGCATTTTTGAAAGTGAGGCTAGAGAAATATGTTGTTGTTCTTCAAGAGCTGGTCCCTATGTGTATTCCACATGTAGGTACGCATGCACTTCACACGCGGGAGACTGGATATTTGTAGCAAGTAGCGTCCACTGGTTCATGCTTGCGCAGTTGCCCTCCTTGTGCTATGAACCGAGGGCATAAACAGGAGCGTGCCTCTCCAGTTCCTCCAGTGCTTATCCCTAGGATATTGATTGGGAGTCTGGTGACCCCTGCTGGAATAGGGATTTGGGTGAGCCCTGAGCAAGTATACCATTTATGGGAAAGTCTGATCTCTCCATGCACATTACAGCAAAACCTTGGTTATGTTTTAGCTAGATTTGAGGTGAGAATAGTGTAGCAAAAGCACCTATTACATAAGCAATTGTGGATTAGTGAACCAGGTGGAAAGTTCATTAGATTTTTCCAATATAATCCTAAATCATGTACATTTGTCAGCTTGCCCACTTCCTAACATCTCTTCATTAGTAATTGGGGGGGAAAAGAAAACAGCCAGCTGTAACTGTTTAATAAGCAGTTTAAACTTTTGGAGGACAGATCCCTAAACTTAATCAGGGCATTGCTCTACAGGCGGCAGAGCTCTTACACTGTCACTCTGAGCTATTTAACCTCCAACACCCCTTGCTAGATCAGAGTTCTTCCATTCACTGGAAAAAACCCTGACAGTTCTTAAAAAAAAAAAAAGATATTAAGTGTTTGTTACCGTGCAGCACAGCCTATCACGACCTTGTTCTTATTCACAAATGCATTTTTCTTGTAATTAAATTGTTACACTTTCGTGGAAAAGGAGCTTCAGCTCTTCACTCTGTACTGTTCTAAGTTTTTGTCTGTCCCCGTAGCTTTAGGATTTGAGCATCAATGTCTGAAATTTATCCTATCAATTTTCCCATTTGCTCAAAGGGCCATTCCCTCAACATAGTATTTGCTAACAAGCTGACAGAAACAAGCAATCCCAATTATTTTAACTGTAATCCTTTTTCTCCCTTCCCCCTGTCCTCTTTTGTTTTAATTTAAGATTGTAAACTCTGCATGGCTGGCCCCCTACCTTTCTATACTCTGTAAAGCATCTAGGGCACACTTTAGGTGCTATATAAATCAAAAAGGTTTCTATTTTGAAAAATCTTGGCCTTAAATCTGAGGTGCTCAGCACTTTTGAAGTTAGGCAAATGCTCAAGGATTCACTTAGCAGCTTCTGTTTTTAAATATTTAAAGCAACTGTGCACCCCATTCGACAGAGCGCTCAAGAAACAGACCTACTTCAAAGTCGCCCTGAATGCCTATTGTTGGCCTTTTAAAGAAGGCCTGGAATTGCATAAAAGACCCTTGGGTCTTGATCCTGTCATCTCAGATCTGCTTGAGGTTTCACGTAGCTGAAGCCTAAGCCAGAAGGACTGAGATCCCAGTTCTGACTGGACAGCCCTGAATAGAAACATTGGACTATAACCTTTGAACTCTTTCTGAAAGAACGCTTTGCATCTACAAAGCTCACCGTCTCTGCTATGAATCTGAATCTCAAGATTGACTCATGTCTGTATGTATACTGTTCTTTTAACCAATTCTCTCCCTTTTCTTTTTTAACAAATTTTAGTTTGGTTAATAAGAATTGGCTGCAAGCGTGTATTTGGGAGGGGTCTGGAATATTCATTCGCCTGTGAGGTAATGTGTCCAACCCTTTTTTATATGATGGGACTTTTTTATATGATGAATAAGATTTTAATTAATCCTCATCATATCTGACTTGGGTGTCTAGCCTGGGTTACTTTAAGGGAACTGTGTTGCTGGCTTCTGGGCAACCAGTGCAATATAGAAGCTGTTTTGTGCTGGTTTGGAAAATCTATGCATTGGAATATCCACCAGCTTTGGGGATTGTCTGCCCTATGCTTTGCAGTTCACCCTGAGTGACCGGGGAGCCAGCTGAGGTCACAGTAATACGTTAATGCAAAGTGTTTTCTAAAACTGATTTCTGGCTCACTTGTGGATATCAATATAGGTTTTTGATATGTTACAGTTTTATACCAAAGATAAACAATGTAAGAACAATTTATTTAAATAACATCTTGACACTTATTGAGGAGATCAGAGGACCTGATAAGAATGCAAAATTTATATTAAGTGTCCATGACTTATTATGAATGAAAAATCATTATTGTGGTTTTAAATTCTGAATGAGACAACAGTATATAAATATAACTTAATTTAAAATCATATTCAAATCATTAATATTCACCTTCAGTATTTTAAGGGTCATATATCTAATATTGTGTAAACAATGTTCATGTTCTGACTTTGAGTGGATAAACTGTGTTAAAGAAATTATGGAAATACTGATAGGACTTAAGTGCCTTCATGTGCAATTCACATAAAAATCACCTATGACCTTTATGAATACGAAATAAATGTAAGTAGTCATTAAGTGAGCTGTAGCTCACGAAAGCTTATGCTCAAATAAATTTGTTAGTTTCTAAGGTGCCAAAAGTACTCCTTTTCTTTTTGCGAATACAGACTAACATGGCTGCTACTCTGAAACCTGTCATTAAAATACTGTAGTTTTATGCCCTAAGGAGCTAAACAATGTAAGATGGTTTACTGTTGTTCTCAATATTAATCTTAGAAGTTTAGCTTGGAGTATTTTATGGGCTTGGATATGAATTTGCTATACAGAGACAAGAATCAAGTCTTGTGCAAGAATTCAGAGAAGAGCTTGCATTATGGAATCCCTTCCCCACAACCACAGGACAGACAGAAAAGGTAGCAACTAACTGAGCATCAGACATTGAAATGAATTGTGTAGTCTTTGCTCTCTCTGTGTTTATGCATGCATGCACAAACACAGACGGTCTCTCATGTTCATGTATATATTACACACGTAAGACTGAGACAAACAGGTATACATATATATTTACATACATATATATATATATATATGCAACATGTGCGCGCACACATTTTCACAGTGCTTGAGCAAATGCAAACCTACCAAGTCAAGCATTTTCCCTTATGGCCCAGATAGCAGAACCCTATGGATTAGGACCATTTACAACTTTGAATATCAGAACCAGACTGTACAAAATGAACTCTATGCATTGCAAGTAACCTGTAAGATCTGAATTTACAGGAGATAAATAATCCAACAACCAGTCATTACACTAAATCACTACACATTCCGTTTTTAATGTTGAAGGAGAAAACTTCAAAACAGTTGAACACTGAATAGTTATAAATTACAAAATTGCAAACTCTTTGGGAGCAAGGACTGTGACTTTCTATGTCTTCATACAGTGTCTAACACATTTGGGGATCAACCACAATTTAATTTTAAAGAAGGGAAAACAAACACATAGATGTTAAACAATTTAATCGGACTCAAACCAATAAATATGTCACAACTGGGATTAGAACCCAGGTCTATTGACTCTCAACTCTTTGCTCATATCACTAGAGTGCTGCTTCCCCTAAATGTAATCACAATCCCACAAACACCTTTCCACTGTGTGTGTCAACTCTTAACCTGTCGAAAAACAATCTGAAAAATTCCATCAAGCCACTTCAAAATCTCTCCTCCTTAATTCATGATGCCAGCAGAATAACAGTCAACAGTGGCTAGGTGTTATGTTAAACTGTACAAATCATGTTACCTTGTCCTTCCTTCCCAACCTCACCTGTTTTTTTTTTCCTGCTGCCTGCTGTTATATCATTAACCAATATTATAAGATTTCTGGGGCTCTGATCTTTGCTTAGGGTGGTAATATAAACAAACATATCCCTTTTCATGTATTGGTATTTAAAAACACCAGCTCTCTAAAGCCTGTAACAACAATATAATCTTAAAGTCTCGTAGGTAAGGCCTAAAAGTAACAGAATAATCTAAGTAAACCTGCATTAAGGAATGTCTGCTTTTTCCCTCTTACCCCCTGCTGCTTGATGCATTGTTTTCCTATAGATCGTAGATAATTTGTTTCTGTTCAATGGTACACACCAAAAATATGACAAGATCCAACAGCATGTATTTCATATAAAAGTGTTTATTGGGGAGGAGGGATAGGGGAAAACAGGCTGGTTTTAAAAAAAATTCCTTCTTGGGTACTTTTGAACACTTTTTCCTAGATGCAGCATCATTCATTCTCTCAGGAGTCCTTTAACAAAAACATGTGAAAATAAAATATTTAACCTAAATATAACCATTTTATAACAGAAAGCTGAAGAAGATGTAAAATCCACCCAACAATAGTAAACTGGTACATGAAAATAAAAACATAAAAAAAACCCTACCTCTACATACAAATAAGGAGAAAATGTAAAAAAGAAGCAGTGATGTTTTTACTTGTATTGCCAAACATTTTAAAAACTGAAGTTTTCAAACAAAATATTGGCTGGGTGTATTAGCATAACCAAACTGCATAAATCACAGTTCAAGACATCTGAATTCACTCACCTTTTAAAGTCTCAGACCTAGGTTAATATAGTAATATATTTTTTCCTGTAGATTCATGAACTGACGTAGAATACTTCCAAGTAAATTCACTTTAACAAGAGTATATTTTTTAATGTATACAGATTTCCAAAATGTTTTTAATTTCAGCAAAAGTCATTTTTTCCAATTTCATTACATTGAATGAAAAAGCTGCCTTTGCCAAAATAATTTGCAAATTTTATTATATTTTAAAAGCCTGATTAAGGGCAAAACATGCATTAAGTTTTTCTGCTAAAATTACAGAAACATAATTGCAGAATGCGATTATATTCAAAGGGTCACGTCCATAATAAAAATCTGCAGCTTAAAAGAAGCTTGGAACTTGAAGAGTTTAGTATCCGAAAAAGGCAAATATTCTGTGTACTAGTTTTAAAATTCTGACATTACACTGCAATGGTTAAAGCAAGAAATAGCTCAACCGAAGAAGATTATAGGAAACCCTTTGTCTTCTCAGGAGGTCTATGCTTGGTCATACAATACTGTCTTGGAAACAGTGCTTCATCAGAGGTCTGGCAGTTGGCTTCTGTTTAAAACATACTTTGCCTCATAACATTCATCAAAGGCGTAAAACATAATTGAGTCTGGCAGTACACATGGACAGCATGATGTTCAGGGGGTTGCCAGTAGACATGGGGTCCTTATATAGCTGTTTTCTTTGTTTAAAAGGGAAAGTGAGTGGGAGGTGGGGAGAAAGAACAGGGAAAAAGAAACTGACTCAGAACCATAAAACATTTTTTTGAATCAGATTCAGTTCAGCTACTGAATATACAAATAGAATGTTTCAAATTTGGATTGTGACACAGCTTCTGAATTGCTCAGACAATTCATGCTTTCCTATTTTCATAGAAAAAGATAGAGGCTTTAGTTATATACATCCTTCTAAATGCTCTGTGAATGCTCTGGGTTGAGTCCTAGAAGTGCTCACTTCAGTCCGAAAGTGACGGAGAGCGAATTGACCGCCCACTGGCTGGGCTGTTGGAGAAAGTGAAGGGCTCCTTCTCTTTTTCTTTGCTGTCATGTTTATGTTTATGCTTATGCTTATGTTTATGCTTCTTCTTCTTTTTCTTGTGCTCATGGTGGTGGTGGTGGTGGTGATCACTGTGTTTTGAGGAACTGGATTCTTTACTGAACACGGAGAGTGGAGCTGCTGGCACTGGAAGCATGTTCAGCTCTAGTGAAGACTGTTCTTTACCTAAGACAAAGATACAATTGGAATTTCAATTTTTACATTGCGATGAATTATTAACTCACAAAATTTAACATCAAACAATACTGAAACAGAAGCTAGTATCTACACTACCATGTCTCCCATCATATTTAGTATTCTAATATAGACTCTATTAGTACACTGGTGCCATTACCTTCGGGTATTCCTAGACAAGCCTATAAGCACATGGACAGTTTCCATACCGTGGGCTTAATTCTCAGCAGTGTAGGTGGGATGTGTGACTCCCTGCTTCGAATGGTATAAATGTATCCCAGATGACTAGTGACTATACAGCTAAGGAACTGCAAAAACCATACCAATTTCAAGACACCAATTTTCCAACATAAAAGTTCAAAAACTTAATAAAATGTAAACAGTGAACAACTAGGCTGCTCACGAAAAATTCTGGATATAACGATAGATAATGGACAACAATAATCAAACCAATGAGTGGTACTATTACGAAGTTAAATTTCCTGTACTGGCTGCTGATGTCAAACATTAGGCTTTCTATACAAACATGAATTTTTTGATGTTGAACAGTGGAAATAAACTGATTTTTCAAAATAAGTTATTTAACATACAAGCATTTCCTCTCTCTTCTGAATAATACAGACATTCGAAGTTTGTCATCTTAAATAAACAGAAATCCCAATTATGCTAATAGGATATCAATATTCTTTACACATCAGGATTTTACGTAGGTAAGCAATACAGGAATAAGTCCTCCAAGGAGATATAGGCCTGTTTCATCAACACAGCAAGTCTGTTCTATATTCTGAAATTTTCTTTTATGTTATCTGTAGCATTTTACAGAACTGCAGAAATATTGCAGATTGGTCTTCCAAGGGCA